AAAATAAAGTTTTTACTAAATTAAACTAATTTATAATGTTTCGTCTTGACGCTTAGAGGAACTTTCGTGTAAGACATATTGTTCACAAAATGAAAGAAAATGCAAAAAAATAACAAACTTCATGTGATGTAAAAAAAAGAACACTTAAAAATAATAAATGTCAAAATTGTGTCAAGAAATAAATTTTTACTGTGCAGTTTCTAAATCATTCAAGACAAAGAATACTACTCCTTAACTTATTAAGAGCGACACTGCAAAACTGAAATTCAGTCTCATATCTGCGTAAACATTAATTAATTAAAAGGGTTCCCAAATTAGACTTAATTTGGAAAAAATATTAATATACTATCCAATAAAATCTATTTTGAAACATTATTTTTAAGAATTCATACATAAATAAAAAATACAATGAAACTTACTAAACTCCATTTAACGGTTTTGTTAACTAAAACATAAAAAAGAAAATATCATAAGAATTTACAAAATCTAATTATATGTATACAATAACTAAAATTGATCGTTTATTGCAAATAAATAAAGTATTTACTAAATTAAAAGAACTTAGCACGTTTCATCTTGATGTTTAAAAAAAACTTTTCCTGTCAGACTTGAAAGTAAAATAAAGGATTAAGTCATCAACCAAACTACGTGCTGCCATTGATAAAATGTTGAAGAAAAGAACACTTAAAAATGTTATATGTCAAAATTGTGTCAGAAAATCATAATTTCTTATCATGAAACTTTAAAATTGTTCAAAAAAAGAAACACTAGTCCTTGACGTGTTAATACAGTTTTAGAGCATCTTGAAAAACTAATAAAAGCATGGCGAAATTTTTACTTCTTTTTAAGTCCGGAAATTTAGATACATATTTTTGGAGAATCATCTCGGGGATCGAATCTACTAAAACATTAAAAGAAAAAATGTAAAATTTGAAAAAAAGGGTTTCTAAAAATATGTCAAATAACTCATTTCTTACGATACAATTTTGAAAACTATGAATAAAACGGGATTCTGTAATCTTTAATGTGTTATTAGTGCTCTATGGTATTTTGCGAAACTAATAAAAACATTTACGAAAATCTTTCTTTTTTATATATAGCTGATTTTAGATATTTGACTTTGAAATGTTAAAGAAAAATAATCTCCAAAAAAAAAACTCAAGGAAAAATATAAAATTCAAAGTAGTTAAGGATTAAAAAAAATTTTATCAAAAATTTTTGAATGATTCAACTAAAAACCATACACAAAAATTAAGGCTATGTTCATTCATGTGTTGCCAGTGTTTCGAAACATCTTGTTAGACTAATAAATATAATTATATATAGTGAAAATATTGAACCTTTATTTAGTTAAATGATTTTCGATATTTAACTTTACGTTATGATTTCAATATATGTTCGTAGAATCTACTAAAAAGCAAACTAAACGAAGATGGCAAACAAACATTTAAAAAGTTTTCGGCTCTTTTTTTTTTATTAGATCAAGCAAGAAAGTTAAAACCAAATTTTAAAACAAATGGCAATTTTTTTTTAAATGGCGGACACTTGGGGTTTGTCCCATTGGTCACAGAAATGCCAGAAATGCTACTCTCTTCTCGTTACCCAGTGGGCACCTGTGGTGAAGCCACGGCGGTGGAGCAGCGTCGCCCACGTCACACAACCACAAACCCGTTTATAGGGCGGACACATTCATACAAAGAGGAAAGGACATAGAACACAGAGAGAGAAAGAAACATCCATGCCCTGAGCAGGATTCGAACCCGCGGCCAATGGCTCCGCAGTCAGACACGCTAACCACTCGGCCACCTTGGTCGGCTGGCAAAAATTTTAGTTCTTTATAAATTGTGGATATTTAACTTCAAAACATTATTTTTCAGTAAAAAATCTGAAACATAATTGACTGAAAAACTAAAATAAACAAATACTTTAATTGTTGTCAATAAATAAATACTTGAAGAATTTAGTATAAATAGAAAGAAATACTTGAAACTTGAATAGAAAGAAATACTTCACACTTAAATCGAAAGAAATACTTAAAAATTGTTTATGTCAAAAAATTAATTTCTTAAAATGCAATTTTAAAACCATCCATATAAAGGAATGCTATAGTCACTTTATAGTTACTTGTATGTTACTTGTGTGTTACTAGTGTTTCAGAGCATCTTGTTATACTAATAAAAATATTGCGAATTTTTTTTTTCTTTATTTAGTTCAGGTTTTCAACTTATTAAGTTATGATTTCCGACGTAAAATTCACTAAAAAGAGAACTAATTCGAAGATAGCAAATATAGATATAAAGTTTCAGGCTCTTCTTTTGACTAGATCAAGCAAGACTGGTAAAATTAGAGTTTGAAACGTTGCAAAAAAAAAGTCCTGCAAAATTTTTTCTCCTTTATAAGTCTTTATAAATTTCAGATATTTTGGATATTTAAATTTTGATGTCATTTCAGACAAAAATCTCCAAAAAAAAACTGAAAGAAAAATGTAAAGTATGATATAAATAAATACTTAAATAATTTTTTTCACTAAATAAAGACTTAAGAAAATTTGTATAAGATTAGAAAGAAAGAAATATTTAAAAATAATGTATGCCAAAAAACTAATTTCTTATGATACAAATTTTAAAGCATCCATAAAAGAGAAGGCTGTTAATACTTATGTGTTACTAGTTTCTCCTAGCGTCTTGTAAACTAATAAAAATATGGCAAAATGTTTGCTTTTTTATTTAGTTCAGGAATTTTAGATAATTATGTTTACTCTATATATGTTTTCAGACGTAAAATCTACTAAAAAGAACACAAAATTTAGATAGCAAATGCAAATATAAAATTCCCTGCTCTTCTTTTGATTAATTCAATCAAGAAAGGTTAAAACAAATTTTGAGAAATTGCGAAAAAACCATATGAAAATTTTGTTTCTTTATAGAGTTTATTAATTTTTAATATTTAACTTTGAAAAGTCATATTAGACAAAAAGACAAATTCAAAAATAAGTAAATAAATAAGTAAAAGAAAATTTTTAAATTTTAACAAAGTGTATACTTAAAAACATTGTTTGTCAGTAAATAAATATTGAAATATTTTTTTAAAGAATTCCAATGAAAGAAATATTTAAAAATAATTTATGCAGAAATATTAATTCTGTATGCCACAATTTTAAAATCATCCGTATAAAAGAATGCTATAGCTGCTTATGTGTTACTAATAACTCAGAGTATCTTGTTAAACTAATGAAACTATTTCGAAATTTGTGCTTTTTTTATTTAACTCAGGGATTTTAGATATATAACTCTAAGGAGATAGCAAGCTTAGATTAAAAGTTTCTGGCTCTTCTATTGATTAGGTCAAACAAAAAATTTTAAAACGGAGTTAAAAACATTACGAAAAAGCACTCTATGTAAAGTTCAGTGATTTTTGATATTTAATTTTAAAATATCATTTCAGACAAAAAAATTTCTAAAAATATTTCTAAAAAATTACTTAATACTTAAAATAAATAAACTTAAAATAAATAAATTCTTAAAATAAACTCAAACTTAAAATGAAAAATCTTGAAATAAATAAATTCTTAAAAACAATTTTTATTTTCAGTAAATAAATACTTCAATAATTTTGTTAATAATAACTTTAATATTTCAATAATACTTCAATAAGAAAGAAATATTTAAAAATAACTTATAATAAAATTTCAAAACTATCCCTAAAATCGAAAGCTATAGTTAGTTATGCGCTACTAGTCACTCAGAGAATCTTGTTAAACTAATAAAAATATCGCGAAATTTTCGCTTCTTTATTTAGTTCAGGGATTTCAGATATTTAACTCTAAGGCATGATTTTAGTCATAAAATCTACTGAAAAGCAAACTAAACTGAGATAGCAAACATAGATTTAAAGTTTCCTTCTCTTCTATTGATTAAGTCAAACAAAAAATGCTAAAACGGAGTTGAAAACATTGCGAAAAAACACTCTATGTAAAGTTCAGTGATTTCTGATGTTTAATTTTGAAATATCATTTCAGACAAGAAAAATTCTAAAAATATTTCTAAAAAATTACAAAACTTGAAATAAATAAATTCTTAAAAACAATTTTTATTTTCAGTAAATAAATACTTCAATAATTTTGTTAATAATAACTTTAATATTTCAATAATACTTCAATAAGAGAGAAATATTTAAAAATAACTTATAATAAAATTTCAAAACTATCCCTAAAATCGAAAGCTATAGTTAGTTATGCGCTACTAGTCACTCAGAGAATCTTGTTAAACTAATAAAAATATCGCAAAATTTTCGCTTCTTTATTTAGTTCAGGGATTTTAGATATTTAACTCTAAGGCATGATTTCAGTCATAAAATCTACAGAAAAGCAAACTAAACTGAGATAGCAAACATAGATTTAAAGTTTCCGGCTCTTCCATTGATTAAGTCAAACAAAAAATGCTAAAACGGAGTTAAAAACATTGCGAAAAAACACTATGTAAAGTTCAGTGATTTCTGATATTTAATTTTGAAATATCATTTCAGACAAAAAAAATTCTAAAAATATTTCTAAAAAATTACAAAACTTGAAATAAATAAATTCTTAAAAACAATTTTTATTTTCAGTAAATAAATACTTCAATAATTTTGCGCAAAATTCGAAAGAAAGAAATATTTAAAAATAACTTATAATAAAATTTCAAAACTATCCCTAAAATCGAAAGCTATAGTTAGTTATGCGCTACTAGTCACTCAGAGAATCTTGTTAAACTAATAAAAATATCGCAAAATTTTCGCTTCTTTATTTAGTTCAGGGATTTTAGATATTTAACTCTAAGGCATGATTTCAGTCATAAAATCTACAGAAAAGCAAACTAAACTGAGATAGCAAACATAGATTTAAAGTTTCCGGCTCTTCTATTGATTAGGTCAAACAAGAAAGGTAAAAACAGAGTTTGAAATAGGGTTCGCAACATTTCCTGAAGATTTCTAGACAGTGATTGAATTATGCCTGCGTCAGGTGAATAAATATTAATGTTTTACCAATTAGAAGAACGCCAAGCGTTCTATTTGGGAGATGGAAATCGATTTTATCAGCCAGGCTTTTACATGTGAACAGATAAATTGGAGTCTACACTGATTGTTGGGTATTTTCGGAATTGTGAGTAAATTTTTGTGTTGCTTTGGAAATAATGGTTATCTGTCTTTATTCGAATAGGGAAAAAATATTTTGCTTGATGATGACGAAGTTTTGGCTATTTATCGAAAACATCGATAAAAGGATATTCGTAAAAACTAAACCAATCGTGAACACAAAAGTTTCACATAACCGTTATAGGAAATTTGTATTTTCTACATAAATAATATTAAAATGAACTATCAAATTTCGCACTTTTGTTGATATAAAATTATTTTTCGTACAATTTTTTTTTTGGTTAAGTGTTATATAGTTCCCTAACAAAATTAAAAATAAAATTAAAAAATGTTTCTGAATGCTTTTTATTTATGAGCTCTTTTGCTCAAAAACTCATATTCTTTTTTTTTTCGCTTTAAAGTATCATTTTACTTTTAAGCATTATTTTTTTAATGAATAAAGGCATATTGAGGACTTTTTAAGCTATAAATTATTTTATAAAAAAGAATACGTATTACTAAAGCATTGCCTTATTAAGAGTATCAATACTGATATTTCCTTGCACTTCAGCATTAGAAAAGAAAATAATAAGGAATTAATACTCCATTGGTAAAATTCTATAAATTTTAGAAGGCTCTGAATTTTTACTTTACATAGTGCCATTCGGAATTAAATCAGAGACTTGAAAATAAATAAATAATAATAATGTACTTTTTAAGTGGTAAAATGCTTATTTTTCTTAATTTTTTCTTAATTGCAATAGTAAAGTAAAATTGAATTGAATTTATATATGCGATTTCCACGTAATTTACTCAAGCAAAACGTTTTCCAAATTTCTGTTAAGTCTTCTGTGTTCGGCCAAAAACCCGAATCCCTTATAAATATTTTGTTTGCATGCAATAGTGGTTCGAAAAAGGATACTATCTACTTTTTCACCATTTTCATGTGTAAAATATGTAAATTCGTTTTTATTAAGCAAATTAATATTATGTTCTTCCAAATTTTACCTCACATTAAGGAAACATTATTAAATAAAATTAAGAATATAATATGAATTTTTCAGTGAAAACAAAGCAATAAAAATAGTAAAAGAAAACACAAAAAAGCTAACTGTTATTAGCGGCTTTTACATGAAAAAGATTCAAAAAATTCTTTTTACAATTATGCAACGATTTTAGAGACATAAGATTGCAGTTAGTAATGATTAATCAAGCAATCTGTGTACATATAAATTTAGTATGCATATTATTTTATGCATATTAAATTAGTATACACATTTATGGAGCTTGAGATGCTCCTCATTTCGAATTATGAATATTATGTGGTATTTAAAAATATTTTATTTTACATTGTTAGATGAAACCATAATGGATCTATCTCAAATATATGGCTATAATTTAATTAAATTATTAAATTCATTTTTATATTTTATTTTACGTTACGCATAACAGCTCCCCTATTGGTACTAATATGTGTTAGGGTTGACCCTTTGAATTGAATTAATTTTCATTAAACCAGAAAAACAAAAGCAGAATTTTTATTAGTGATACTTTTTCCAGTATTTTGTACTATTTCAGGTCAGATTAAGTGAAAAATATTATAATTAGCATTTTGATAATTTATGATTATGAAATACAGCATTTAAACGCCACTGTCTAACACAACGCTAAAGGTAATATCTTCCAAATGAGGCTCACATCCAAACAATAATTTCACAAAATTGCACTTATTTAGATAGAAGAGGAATAGAATTCATCACTGAAATTTCGTGAATTTTCAAAATCAATTATTGACAAATTTTTGAATATGAGTGGAAAAAAAATTTCCAGACAACTTTTTTTGAGATTTTATATCTTAATGCAAATAAAATTTCGATAATATAACAGACTCTTTTAGTAACTATTAGACTCTTGTTTTTTTTTGTTTTTTTTTTTGTCATTAAAAAAATCCCAAAATACATTTTGCTTGTAATTAGTGCGACAGAAAAAATATTTATAAAAGGGATACCAGTATCCCACCTGCGTTAAAGGGTTAAGGCCTGGATGCACAAACTTATTCCTCCATGTTGACCGAATTCTAACCCATAGTCTTTGAGCTACCCATAGTCTTTGGGCTAAACCTCATTCATTTTTATTAGTATGCAAGTGCTTCATTTACATTAAAATTGCATTTAAGTACCTGCAAGTGACGTCACGCGTGGGTATCGAACCTGATTGGCCACTAAAACGCGCGATCGACGCCTACGCGTGACGCCGTTTGCATGTACCCAATTAAATCTGATCCAGAAATTGATTCTGCGTGATAATAAACTAAACTTAGCTGTTACATAATCTTTTTAATGCACAACCAGCTGATTTCTGCAATTTTCTTCCATAGTTGCAGGTACCCGATGTGAATACGTTTACACAATAAAAATTATTATAAAATCCTAATTGTTACAAAAACAAGGTTAGTACTCCTCCTCCATTTCATAAGTTAATTATAAAAATATTTTAATTGTGCTAATTATTCTTATAGATGTTATGTTGATGGCCCGCTTGATTAAGCTGTGCCTATTAACTCACGGCCTGTTGTGACCAGAAATATGAATTTTGTTAATATTGTATTCAATTACTTTGAGAGAGTAGTTATTTTTAAGTTTATTATCCTATACATGTTTTTCCTTGATAAAAATTTTATGCAGAAGATGACTTTTCCGTGTAGAAACAAAAAAGTAAATAAGAAAATATTTACTAGAGTAGGGAAATGCGTGTAGAAGGAAGAACATGATCCGCACGAAAAATATATGTCCAGCCTATTGAGTTTGCTTGATGACAACTGTCAAATTCAGGTTTTTTTTTTTCCTGAAACAATCTTATTTAATGAATATGTTTATTACAAGCACACTTTAAATTCACCAGTAAAGAATAATTTAAGTGCTATTAAAAATAGTAACACATAATTTAATGCTGTTTTTTTTTTCGGTTTATGTGAAACTCGTGCTGTCGTAAGAAATAATCAAACTAAAATAAAATCCTGATTGATTATTTTTGTTTGAAAAAGTTTAGACGTGCCTAAAATTTAGAAATTTACCTAAAATTTTAAAAAAAAATTTAAAAAATTTCTTACTTTTTTTTTAACTTTAAATTTCTCTAACATTTTTTATTTCCCTTAAAAATGGATATTTCCGATTTATAAAATTCAATATGTTTATAAATTTACATAAAATTATAATTCTGCATAAGAAAATTCTGCTAATATGTTAATTAGAACAAAATAGTAATAGGCTACCAGGATTTAAAAAATAATCGACTGTACTTCTAAGTACTTGTAGTAATTTAGTGTAACTTGTAGTAATTTAGTAAGTATTTGTGGCAATTTTACATATTAACAATGTAAAACGATAACCTTATATCATATAACGATTAAAAAAATTGAAAATGGTTTTTCTCATTTTTGAATCTTTTGTATATTTTTAAAATTTCGACATAAATGTTCAAATTTATATCTGGCTATCATCTACTCCCTTTATCTCATTTTGTTATTTTATTTATTCATTTTTTTTTTGTTACATTTGAGATCAAGTCGAAAGCAAGTAAAAACAAAATCTTATAAAAAGAAAATCTTGCGAGGGAGAAATAAAATTTTCCACAACAAGAGATAAATTAGCATTATTTAAACCAAAAAAATATTAAAAAGAATTAACGAGAAAAGCACTTAAAATTGCAATAATTTTCGAAAGAATTGGAATTTCAAAAAAAAGAAAGGTGGAAAGAAAGCCGTCATAAGTTTATAAGTGAAAATGGCCCTTTCAACGCGTTTTATTTCAAATCTGTTGTTGCATTTCAGCAGGCAGAAGATCGGCTCTCGTAATATTTTTTGAAAGTTTAACATTAATTTTTTGAAAGTTAATAAATTGCTTCTAAATCTAATAGAAAAATGACTTTTTCTAAAGTTTAATAGTTTTTAAAATATTAAAAATATTTCTCGTCTTACAGTTCAGGCAATTTTTTTAAGCAGAAAAAAATTTATCTTAAGCACTTAAAATTTTACTCCTTTTTTTTCGTCGAAACTCTTTTAAATTCAATAAACCCCTTTAAATAAAAGCTTTATACAATAAAGTGCGTTTTTTACTTTGCTTTTTCCAGCACAAATTAGACTATTGTTCTTTTATCCCATTATATTTGAAAGTGTTAATCACAGTAGAAATGTGATCATTCTTGTTTCTGAGACATACATTTTTCAAAAAAATACTTAAAAGAAAATTCAAATCCTGTATTCTTGTAATAGTTTACATGAAATCTCTGGCACCTTTGCAAATAGATCGGTCGATATTTTACTCCTTATAGCGTTTCGTTGTTTATACAAGAGGAAACAGATCTGCTGTATGGGGAAACATTCCTGTCGAAATGTGGTTTCTTACATGTTTGCAGGACCGTTAAAACCTGCTTTGATTTAAACTTAAAACTGAATTATATTAAATTGAACTGTATGTTCAATAGCATAAGATCTAGAATCGACTGGGAAGAGCCAAAAAAAAAAATATATATATAGATAGATAGATATATGAAGCCCTTTGGGGAGGCGAGGAAGTGTTGCAGAGATTCTAAGTGCCATGTTTTATCTGATTTTTTTTTTTTTTTTTNATTTTTTTTTTTTTTTTTTTTGTAAATAATGTTAATTTATCTATAGTCCTTATTCTAACTTAAATTTATTTAGTTTATAACATTTTATTGTGTTTAAATTTTACTGATATAACATCGCTTTCGCAAACTTCCCTATCCCTTTTCTCTTTGTTTTATTTAATTTTTGAAGAAGGAGCAGTTATCCTCTTGGGCTGGTACCCCGTACCAAAGTTCCCATTTGCATTGTTCTACTGGCAAATTTTTGATCAACTTAGCTGATTTTAAAAAAGTATATCGAAAAACTAATCGTACTCTTTAGTGGCTACTTTTATCGTTTTATCTTTATGATGACAGAAATTGAAAACTGGAGAAATTTTATATAATATTTCAGAATTAAACATATAATCAAGTAATACACCAAAG